CCCACGGTGCGCGCTCTGCGGTTGCAGTTAATCAATCAATCTCCGACGAAATTCGTGCCGGCGAACCCGAGGCCGCCTCTTCGCCAAGCCGCCCCGCCGCCGCTCGCTACGAACAGCGGCCACGTCCACACAGGGTGACCCGCACTCTAAAAATTAGTGTATTTTTTTTTTAAAAAAAGAACTTGAAATTCTCTATGATTTAAAGAAAGGAAATTATCTTTTAGTTTAAATGAGTTTTCTCTTAATAACTAATCCTTTGAATCCCACGAGCCAGGGGTGCGGAACCTTCCGAGCTTCCACATTTTCACGCGCCTGCCAGGCGGCTTTCCACATTTTTCTCATTAGTTTTCCACAGAATTCCCCACCAATCTAAGACAAGATGACGTTTACCTTCTGTTTACCTTCACTGGAAAAAAACACATTGGATCTAGAGTCCTGACTCTTAATAACATCGACAAGAAAAAGTACTCTTGATTCAATCAGAATCTAGCTTAAATCAAGAACCAAGCCTCTTAATTTCAGCGGATTTCGTTTTGATTCAAGCAAAAATCCGATTGAATCAAGAGTATTTTTTCTTGTCGATGTTTTCAAGAGTCTGGACTCTAGATCCAGTGTGGTTTTTTTCCATTGTGAAAAATCTTCCAAGCTTCCACATTTCATTACCAGGCGGCTTTCCACATTTTTCTCATCAGTTTTCCACAAAATTCCCTGCGAATCTAAAACAAGATGACGTTTACCTTCTGTTTTCCTTTGATTTTCGACTTTTAGCCCCTTAAAATGTTCCCTCCTTCCACATTTTAATCCCTGCGTAGGAGTGCAGAATCTTCCAGGTTTCCACATTCTCACGCGCCCGGGCGCCGGCTTTCCACATTTTTCCGGTCGCCTTTCCACAAAATTTAATGCCCCTGTTTTAAAGATTTACTTAGTTCCAATTAAGAGCATTTTTGCATTAGAAAGAAGAGGAAGAAGAAAATAAAGTTGTAATTGACCCATACTGCTGTGCTGAGGAAAATTGTCATGAACGTTCGATAGGCGCCAAATTTTCTCCGATAAAATATTTTTTAAAGGAGAATCACAAATTCATTCTCTTGAAACTGTCGGAAAATTAAGATCTGATAGTGAAAAAATTCCTTGATAATCTGAGGAAAACATTCATAGATTTGCCTGTAAACTCATATTTTTTCAAAGGAAATTTGGCAACATCCGAAGGCTCATACGGCGTTCTTCCTTCACACGTTAGCGCAAGACACGGTCTTGCGGTGTGGCCGTAAAGCGCTGAGACACCCTGTAGATCATTTGGCGCAAGCTTTTTGGGCACCTCCGCTCGCCGCCCGGAGCCAGAACTGCCGTGTTTTACGGAAAAGAGCAGTAAGTGCACTTTTGAAATGAGCCACGAGACACCTAAGGGCATGTGCTCATCGTGGCTCACACATAGATGCACTTATGGTTCTTTTCCGTAACACGGTAGAAAACCGTTGCGTTTCCCGCCATTCGGTCTTGGAAGAGCCGCACGGACATTATGAGCTCATTTATGGAATCCAGGAACCGCAATTTCATCCTCCTCCGGAAAAAATCGTGCACCGTTGCAAAATTTCTTCCTGAAATATCGGATTTTCGGCAAGCCAGGAGCGCCTAGTCCTTTCAAAATACTGAGAGGACTCTATTCTCAATTTTGATTGAAAATCGCCAGGAAAAGTGGTTTTAACTTTTTTTAAAAGAAGGGTTTTTTGGGAGAGTTTTGACAATATCTGATCATTATTGCGTTGTTTTCTCCGTAAGACGACAAATTATGAGCTCATTTCTGAAACGGCGAAGCCGCAAATCTGTCTTCCTGAAAAAAAAAAGCCAACGATGCAAAATTCCCGCACCACTGAGCGCCGCTAGTGAGGCGATTAGTATCTGCAGTAAAAACGCCTTCAGTTTCGGGAGTATGCAACACGAACATCCACAGAGCCCGAATAGTTGCATCAAGGCGTTATGATGAACTATCCGTCGTATGCGACGCGAACTGAAACCTCGATTATTTCTCTGACACCTTCACTTAATTCCAGCGATGCGTTTTGAGCCGATGAAGCAAACCGTTCCTGATTTTTATCGCGACAAAGTCAATGTTCCGATAAATGCATTATTTGAGTATTACAACGCTGACTGCCCTCAAAATCGCTAAAGAATTAGGTATCGAAGCATGATACGTAGAGTTTCCTTAAATTTACCCCAGGGTTGTCCTTTATTAGGATTTTTTCTTCTGGGAAAACTAAATTTGGCGTTTAAATGGAACATTTTCAGAGAACCCTACTAAAAAATTTCACGGAGTAAAGAACGAAGACGATAGCTTTTCGTCCAAATGAAATACGACAAGAAATCTGTAAAATCACAAGCCTACACACTATACGATTTCCTTGGCCCAATGGCAAAAGGCGAAAATACAACACAACTAAGTCTGGTAAATAAATGAGTGAAAATTATACTATCTTCTGCTCTTTCCCTCCTGAAAGGGCGGCGCGGCGTCTCGTTAAATTGATTCTTTTTTCCTATAAAAAATTAAAATATGAGCAGAAAGTTTAAAACATCGCAAACGAGGTAAGTGGCTTGAGAGTTTCGCCGTCAATATGCCCTTTTTCCGAATAGCCCTTTCAGCTATTTGACCAGAGTAGCAAACTTTCATGAAAGTTTATAAAGTGAAATGTTATGAAATATTCCGAAACTCCGACAATGGATTCGGTGTGTGTTTTTAAACGCATAGAAACAGTAAATCTTATATTTTGAAGAAAAAAAATAAAGAAATATGAGTCCAATTCCGAAATTTCTCATCGAATTCTCGGATAATTGGTACGGGTTGCATAAGCAGCTCCTGAAGAATCGTTGAAATTTAATGGAAGATGAAATTTCACTTTCAAGCCAATGAAATTTCATTCTGTGAAAAATTAATCATCGCTGGCTGACCAGGGGTCAATTACATTCTGAATGTTATCTGGATGGTTGTGGAAAGTCCTCGGATTTTTTTTTTTTTTTTTTTTGGCGCGTTCGGCATTGAAATGGCAAAATAAACGTTCATTGAGCCCTCCTCATTACCATTTTAAAATTGTCTTCTTACCCGTTAAAAAAGCAAGAGAAAAAAAGGTTATCACAATTAGCGCAAATAATTGTGAGAAAAAGGGAACTCCATCGACCCTTTCGCATTTTTCCACTTCTATTCTCACTTGCATAAAATGTCCGACAATTTTATTTCTTCTGGAAATTGCGCAACACTGTGGCAGAGGGAAAAGGATTACCATAGAGCACTGCGGCATTGGAGATCGGTCGGCGGCATGGCAGCGGTGGATCGCCTCGGGGATGTATTACGGTGCAATGTCGCCGCGGGCTGGGATATTATTGCTGCCCTTTCCGTCCAGCCTTTCTCCTTTCAACTTATACCTCCCCCTCCCCCCTACCACCTCCCGCGGACCCGCCTCACCCTCACAGCCCGCGGACTCCTTTTCAACCCTCGGCGCCGTTGCAATATCGCCCGGGTCGCCCCGTCCCGCCCGCCCGCTTCCACGAATTGAGCACGTGCTCTTCGACGGGCATTTTTCGCCGGCTTGACCCAATACCAAATACCTCCACAGAGGATACCTGGTTATTGTTTTTAAAGTCGTGCGCACAGGGTGATCTAAAACTCCCGCACCACCAATGCCAGAACTCGCCCTAATGAATTTTGAGCGAATCGTCGTTTTCCAAATGAAGGAACGTAACTTTACTCCAAGGTTTCAAAATTGTCTAAAACAATTAATCTTTTGACAAAAAAGGACCTCTGAAATTTGTGTACAAAATTTTTCTGATTTTTTCACGATCACTGAAAAAAATGCCAAAGATACTCATGGTACAGGTAAAATTTACGGGGGAGGGGGGGCGGGCTTTGGCAACATTTAAATGTAGTTACGTTCTTTTGTGAGAAACGACAAAATTGAGATAGACTTGACATTTTTTAAGTGCCCCCTGGTCAAAAGAGACAACTTTTGGGAGCCTCCAAAATGTTAAAAGGACCACTCTGAAAAGGGGCAAGAACCCTAAGAGTCAAAGGGGTGGTTCGCGACTCTTGGATCACCCTGTTAAAGATGGGTTACGAATAAAATGACTCACGGAGGAAAATCCTGAAATGAAGATATTTTTCACCCATTACAGGAAAATTTGACGGGAAAATAAATATAAACGTAAAACTTCGAATAGACAAGCCCTAACCGTAGAAAATTTCCTTTGGCCCAATGTAAATTCATAACGCCATGTATTGAGACGCTCTTAGGGACGCGAGTTCGGTAATACCTAATCAGATATTGTCGTGTCTCGGAAATATTGGAAGACGTGCCAGCTTTAAAAAATGACGTCGACTATTCAACTATGTACTTGGAAAATAAAGTACATGACAGGATGTCTGCGACGCCGCAAAACCAAGATCCCAAATTCCGTAGTCCATCAAACATTCATATACGCGATATCATTACACGAAAGGCAAAATAACTGTGAGAACAGATATCCTTCGGTGACAGTGAATAGATAGGAAATCTGGGACGTTACAATCCAATTTAAGTAACTGGTGGATTCACCGTCGAAAATATCTATACTTCTTGATTCTAATCGGTGTGCCCACAGGTGGTCTGATATTTCCACAACCTGTTTTACCGTCACCTTGACCAAAATATGAACCTGCTAAAATTAGGTACGTAGGTACTTGTCGTGAACATCCTAATATTCAACGCAAATGTGAGTACCTAGAATTTTCCTCGAGCAGATAATCTAATCCAGAATGGGGCATATTTTTCCAGCTTTAAATCTGATTAAGAAACCTGACTGACTGTTTAAGTAACTTAGAATTTGAGTAATTTTCTCGCGTGTGCTTGTTAATTGTTCACTAAGGCGATGCAAAAATGAACCGCGGTAGAGGTCGTCGAGAGAATAACATTTGAAGTATGCTATGAAAATGTTTTAATTGCTGTAGATAATGAGGAAAAGCTTCTAGTCCTGACCTTTTTTGACACAACTCCAGGGTTAAGCTTCCTTTGGACTCCAGGGCTATAGATGGAACACGGATGAGATCGTGAGGAAAAATTTTGAAAACTTGATTGACACTCGAATCAAAACAACAGGACGCGCACTGAACCCGAAATTTATCACAGTCGCTGGAGATTTACGTTCTCTCGCGACAGCACGCACGAATATCAAGACCCGGAGAGACGCGTATAACACCACTGACACACAACAAGTGCGAAGCCGGTCGAGAACAACACGATAATCCTGGGTTCGCTGCGAACACAATGCCAAAAACACTCGAACAGAATCACAATCTAGGTTTCGGGAAAGCAAGAACAAACACGCGGCGCGAGGTGGATACCGGACTGACTGACAGCGAAGCACCGTGACCGTCCAAGGCAACGACTCAGCTCTTTCTGAATGGGCCGCGATTCGCTGGCGGTGCGGCGCGCTCGCGGGCAAGGATGGCGGGCGGGTTGCGGGGGGGCTCGGAGCCCGCGGCGAGTTCTCTTCGAGTCCAATCAACAGGACCCAGAATCAAGTCTTCCTGAGCTAGGCCCTCGTTGTCGCTATTAACCTGTGTTTCGTCAGCTATGAGCTACTGTCTGCTGTTACCCTTTCCCGGGTTGCCGGCCCGGAGAAAAATCGCCGCTTAAAGGTTCGCAACCTAAAGGAACGTCTATCGCCAAGACGGAGAAAAACACTGCAACGAAGTTCAGGAGGAGAAGACGCTAATATTTTGAGGCACGGCACCTCAGAAGCGGAATCAGCAGATTTGTTTCGGTCCTTACCGTTATCAAAGCATAAGGTTTCGTCGAGTTGCCCTGTCAATGAGGAGCTTGCAGGACAAGGCGCACAAGTGCAGTTTTTGAAAATATTTAGATATTAATGATTTTAAGTGAAACTTATCTTAACGACACTCTGAAAATTCGCTCCCAAATTCCAATTTTTAAGAATCAAGAAGTCAGTTTGAACTTTCTGTCCGTCGTAAGGATCAATGTAATCTTGAAAATTCGAACAAGTATTTCTCGAAATAGCAAAAACTGCACTTATGCGCCTTGTCCTCCAAGCTCCTCCATTGTAAGTGTGAATTGGAGCCCGCAATCGATCTTTTTAAAAACCGGGAAAAAGTTACGAGAATATCAGCTTTCAATCCATCTCGAATGTTAAAATACAATGCATGAGATCAGCAAAAGACCATGATTGCCCTTTAACACATCCATTTTTTTCGCCCTACCGTTCCCCCAGTTGAACGGAGGTCAATTAAGTGCGTTTTATGATGGTGTTTGAGAACAGAATAGACTTACTGCTCTTTTGAATGAAATGACGTCTAATTCTGTACTTACTCTGCTCCTCGAGAATCCTTGGATTCATCGAGCACGATGAAATTTGCACTTTCAAATGCTTTCAATGAAACCATTCTGTTTGAGATTCGATACTTTAAATCAAGAGCATACTGTCACCGCTTTTTACTAAACGCCTTCAATTTCCACGAGTAGGCAATTTCTTGACCTAGAAGCACGTTGATTTGTATCCATATCGCCGTGCCGCTTCGCCAGTTGAACGGACAGGTTGTGTCAAGTGCGCTTGTAGACAAGTGCGTCTTATGATGGTGTCAAGCTCCAAGTTTTAAGACAAAGTGGATTCACTGCCGTTTTCTAGGAAGTAACGTCATTATTTGCGGTTTTACTGCTCTTCGACAGCCCTTGGATTTATCAAGGAAGGTGGGATTCGCTCTATCAATCAAATAATTCTGCTCGAGAATTACTTTCAAATAAGAGCACGCGCTGTCACCAAATGCCTTCAATTTTCTCGAGTAGGCAATTTCTGGACCTAGAAGCACGTTGATTTGTATCCACTTCGCCGTTTGAAATATTGTTTGACAGATTCATAATTTTTAAACAAAAAAAGAGCGATAACCTCTGCGCATGAACCTTAAGAATAGTTTCCGATGAAAAAATGGAAAAATCCGGAGAAATGAAAGCAGGCTTTTTTGTAGAAAAAAGTGTTGCATTCGATACAAAGGTCGGTGATTGTATCGAATGCAAAGTTTTTCCCAAATTAAAATCCTGCATTCACGCCTTAAAATTGCCTATAAATTATTTGTATAGTGTTTGCTATACGGAAGATTGAACCTACTAGTTCATCAGAATAAATCCATCCAGGACAACAAATGAAACCAAGGCACAAGATAGTGACCCAACTCTATAAATTCGTACTCACGGATACTTTTTAGATAGTCTTTATTAGTTTGAGTGATGAAATACCTATCACTGCAGAATGAACTTCAAGAAAGACACATGATGTCCAAGATAAGGAAATGAGTAAGGCACAACTTTAAAGACGATATCTACCGGTGCGATGAGTTTGTGCGTCGTTTATCAGTTCAATCAAAGCTTACGGAGCGATGTACTGGTGTGTTTTTCGAATAGACTAAACGCAGCCCACAATGTAGGAGGGAAAGAGCAGAACATCACTGAATTTTCTTTCGCATATTTACGAGACTTTATTGTGTTATGGTTATAGGAAATCATAAACGTGCATTCAGGCTTGAGATACTACAGATACACTGTTGCTTTTCATTTTGTCGAAAAACGAGGGATCATGAATGCTCCTAATTCCGTGCGATTCATCAGGACTGTTCTTTGATAATTTTGTTCTTAAACGTCAAAATTAGTTTTTTCAAAGGGAGAAAAATGTAAAAAGTTCAAACAAAGGACGATTCCTTAAAGGAGGTTAAGAAAACTCTGGTCATTAGTCATGAATAGTTACTCTTGAAATCTTACTCAGCACATCGTGATATCAAAACTGAAGCACAAAATATATCTTACTACAGATGTACGCGACTATTCGTATCCAGGAGATATCTTTGCATTGAAAAAAAAGAATTGAAAGCGCTCTGCCGTTTTAGATTCTGGGAATGATGTCCCCCGTTGGCAACTCGCCAGCGCCGGAGGCGATGCGGGCGGATGAAGTGGTGAGAGCCTGGACAGTCAAAACGCCTTCAACTCCGTGCGTATGCAACACGGACATCCGTAGAGCTCGAATAGTTGCATCCAGGAGTTAGGATAATTGTTTGTCGCATTCCACACTATAACTAAGGGCGCTTTGCTTGTTTCTTCTACGCCTGTACGTAATTCCAGCGTTGTCTATTGTGCCGACGATGAAGACTATTGAGGATTTTCATCACGACATTGCCAATTTTCCGAATATTGCTTTGATTGATTGAGTGCACAACAACTTTGCCGTCGTAAAATGTGGGCTGCGCCCCTACCTTCTCTGACCTAAGAACGACGAATGCGGCAAACTTGTATCAGGACCACTCGTAAAATTCGTAAAAATCATTGTAATTCCACCCAAAAACCCATCTCCAAAGTTGTACTGCTGGATCGTACTCGAGATTCGTAATAATCGTCCTTTTTATGATGCATTGTATAAGATCTTCTTCGGCCTTCCTTAATCACCACGTAAACCATGTTGGACCCGAAAACGGAAGGAGATATTCAATGAACATTTGGACTTCATTTTGCAATTAGGAATTGCTCTTTCGGGCTCATTGGTGAAAACACATATCTGCATAGGGAAACTAATGGTACAATTCGTTGTTCCTAAACTGACAATGAGCCAAAAAGTGAAGAATTTACAGGTGTCTGAAATTTGATGAAATACGTGTTTAAGTAGATACTACTGAGTTAACTGAACACGAGGATACCCTTGGTTCATAAATTAAACTATTATGGAAGGAGATATGACAAAATAACATAATTTGCTAAAATACGTGTGTTTGAATGATAAATGCCACCAGATAACGTCACTATACAGGCGGTGCATTTTTTTACTTTCAAATCTATTTTTATGCTATTTACCATATCCCAAAAAAATTATGAAAAATACTGCTAACTGAGCTAGCTCACTAAGCACTCTCCGATGAAGCAAAAACATTTGGACGGAGTTAAACAGAAAGGAACCAAGTCACATCGGGATCGAACCGAGAAAAAGAGGCCTAAAGTTTAGCTCCTGCATAAGACTCAATGTGAAAGATAAACTTCAAATTCAATTTCTGCAAAATTTGCTCCAACAAAAACTTTGAATTTTTGGCGATAGATAGTAGAGCAGTGGTTGAGTTTGAAACCACTCATAACTCAATTTTTTCCAAAATGTGGGTTGGTTCCTTTCTGCTTAACGCAGTCCGTTTGTGTGTGTGAATTCGCCATGAATGCAGCCGTTTAAGATATCACACCAACAAGCTGGACTATACCAAAAAGCTGAACTACACCAAAAAGCTGGTCAAATCGGTGACCAATGGAAAAGTTCGAACGGTGTTGAGAGCAGGTCAAGGAGAGCGTCTGAGCTTGAACTTTTAGGGGGTTTTACGCCTCCTTAATCGGCGCAGCATCCGTCGTTCAGACATTCACGGTTCGACGCGTCCGCCTATTATCTATCTGCTTTCTCCCGTAAATCTGCATTATTCCGCGTATATACTCTTTTGTCCCTCAACGGAGGATAGCCTCTACCACCTTCCTTTTCCTATTTCCCACTCTTCGCCCTCTGGCAGTGTGGCGCCGGCCGCTCGCTCATTGGCGTCCTTAGCGGTTGGGGAATATCTCCTATCGCACACACGGAAACGAGTAGATGTATCATACTGCCGTGATATGGAAAAACGCCGTATAAGCCTTCAGGCGTTGTCAAATTTCCTTCGATGAAATACGAATTCTCACGGAAACTTGTGCATATTTTCTACCAATTTTTTTTAGAGACTTTCATTGGCAATTTAATCGAAAGGATCTGATAATTTCAAAAGAAAATAATCATAAATTTTCTCCAAAATGTATGTTTTATAGGGGGAAATCTGGCAGCATCCGGATGTTCATACGGCGTTTTTCTTCAGTACGGCAACACAACCAAACTGATTATTCCCTTCGTGTTGTTATGAATTATGAGTGTTTTTCTGACTTTCGATGGACACATTGGAACATGGAACATATCGATGGTGAAATTGCAGGAACTTGTACCTCGATTTGCGACGTTGCAGATTTCCTTTCATACTTCATTTTCTACGTGGAAACTTTGGCGGATCTAGCCATTTGGCAATATTGTTTTTCTCAATTTAAACCCATGGAAATGTATCGATTTGTGGAGGAGCCAGGTTCTCCGACAAGAATCGATTATTTAATATAGATTTAAATGAAAGAAATCCGATGTTGCCAAATTGCTGGATCCGCCTCTGCGTGGAAAACTACTATATACGTCATTCCTTGAAACTTTGGTGATTTTTCTTCTCTTGGTAGAGAAAATTCTATGAATATTTCAATCTAGGACATAGGTTTGATCTCCTTTTCAAATATAGAGGAGGAGCGGAGATTCTGAAACACCACAACCGAGATACGCATTTTTGCAGTCTC